TTCAAATTGAATTTCTCCATCGCCTTTCAAATCTTATAAAACCTTGTATTAAGTTATGGATGCTTGAAGAAAACTCATGGAAGCTTGCGGAGATTTGGAGAATCTTGAAAACTCTAGAAGAATCCAAATTTTTCTTGAATTCTATCCATTCTCAACTCATGATGAGTTGGAAATCTTATCCTATCACTATGAGCTGTATTTCGTGTGTGGTTGTTATAAGTTGTCAAATTTAATTTGAAAACTAGAAAGTTGTAAGAATGGTCAAGACCGGTGGCTAGTGATTGTAATAGGTTGTAAAATTCAAGTTAAACTCTTCCATGTATATCTATATATATGTAGCATGTTAGGCATTAGATGAGTGAATGGAAAGATTAAAAGTGTGTGAAGAGTGTGAGAAAATAAAGTGTTTAAAGACTTGTGAGAAAAACAGAAAAGAGATTTGTGAGAAGTATAAAAAGGAAATTACTGTTGTAATTTTTTATTCTTGAGTGAAACTTTATTATAGTAAAAGTTCTTCTTCTTCTATTATAACAAGGGCATATTCTAGCTTGAGCATGAAATAATAAATGAGCCAAAAAAAAAAAATGTTTTAACGGGCTAAATAAAAAAAGTGAAAATCGTTAAGTATTTAATTTGCATGAGTTTGATTATGTGAAAGTATATTGGGATACGTGGAAAATTAATTAACATTGTTTTAACCGAAATAAGATTTGAGCTTTTGCTATTATTAAGGATTAAGGATTCTGTTAATTATTACGCCCTCGGGGATTAAGCAGCCATATAAGAATCTATTTTCTTGGACAACTCAAAAAATCCATTACTATCATGAGATTGTACCGTATCACACACACACACTGGCCTGCATCATTCTACTACAGTGTAGGAGGAGGCCCATTTTTTATTTTCTCTATTTACTTTTTGAAAAAAAAAAGGACAATAGGTCAAAAGAATCGTTAACAGTTTTGAGCTGTCTTCGCGTACTTTTTGTTTTTTCCCCTTAGGTCCTATTTAAGTACCAAATAATAATAAGAGAATATTAATTTCATATCGAGAAAGATTAGTATCTCATGTTATAGGTATAAAATATGTGAATTCTACTCATTTATTTATTTATTTTTAAAAGAATTGACCCACATATTTTGTGTCAACGACAATGAGATATTATTCTGATATAAAAAAAAGGGAGAGATCTTTTGACTATAGAGTAAGATTTACAACTCTTACTCCTCATCTCAATCATTGATTTCCGTTCATCTAACGGTTATCTATAACAATTATTTATTTATTTATTTCAAATAAATAATAACCGTTAAATGAACGAAAATCAACAGTTGAGATGAGGAGTAAGAGTTGTAAGTCTTACTCTAGAGTCAAAAGATCCCTCTCCAACAAAAAATTTGTATATTCCATAATAATAATACTGACTGTACTTTACTAAGAGAATAACGGGTCACATTAAATGTGGCAGGGTTTGCAGACACTGCAAGTTTGACCAAGAAATTAATCACATATACAAAAAAATCCAAAATTTAAATAAGAAAAAAAAAGGTTAATATCTAAGCTGTGAAACACGTTGATTATTACTGATAGCATTACCTGAAACAGTCGGAGCCTGCGGCGGAGGAGGAGGTTGCGGTGGTGGTTGTGTAGCCACCATTGTTGATCGTGACAGTGATTGTGGTTGTGGTGGGTGTAATTTCCTCTGCAGCACTTGGGTTATAGCTTGATAAACTTCAAAGACCATATTTGAAGGGAGTTTTCGGTCTTTGCGTTTGTGTTTTTCAATGGTCCAATAAGAAGGAAAATAAGTGAAATTTGAAGACTCTGATTTGGACTCATAGTCACGAACCTTCTTGTAATCACGTAGCAAGTTGTCCCATTTATCATTGCATTGGTTTTGGCTTCTCAAGCAACCATGACTCCAGCAATAGTTCTCCACCCATTTCCACCTTAGCTCGCTGAACCCACTGCTTCTGCTTAATGCAATAGCAGAAGAAGAAGAAGAAGAAGAAGGTTTTGTGGGGTCACGTGGTGGGGTTGAACTTGTTTTCATGAGCCTACGCTCGTCGTCTAGCTTCTTTGCTGTGATGAGGATCAGTGTTTCTTGGATGGTCCAGTTACCCTTGCGGTATTCTCTAGTTAAGGAGGAAGAGGAAGAGAGGGTGGTGGCGCCACCGTGGATAAGAGGTGGTGTGTGAAGGGGTTGGAGGTGTGGGTCATGTGAGTTTGGTGGAGGTTCAGACATGGTTATGTTCAGAAGTGAGACTACGAACTACGAAGCAGTGTAAATGACTTTTAGACCATTGGGTATAGAAGGCTGCCACGTGCGGAGTGTGGCAAAGACTGGCTTCATTGCACGTGGCAATTGAAGAAAGATTCTTATATGCCGGTGAAGTAATACAAATTTATTTTCTTATGCTATTATACCACTTCAATTATTTGATTATTGTCGTTATCTTTTATTTTAATTTTTTAAAATTGTAATTCAAGTGATATATAGATATATATGATTGAAATTATTTTATCTTAATATAAATTATGTTATATATATGACTCATACTTTGCATAAATATTTTTATTAGTCGGACACAGAAAAAGTCGACAGATTGCTTAGAGTTTCTAAATTTATTTATATTCTCATTGTAAACTGTGTGTTTTGTAACTGAAGCAATAAAGAAAATATAGTTAAACATAGTTAGACACACTCGCATTGAGTAAACCAAGATAAATCTATATCTCGATTCTCTCTTCTCTTCTTTCTTTTCTGTTTGCCATTTGTCTGTAACCAACAAATCTCATTCTCAATCTTAACAATTGACTCTATGTGTGTTTAATAATTAATTTATTAAATTTTGATAAGTTAGATGCAAACAAATTAATGGTCAATATTAATATAAAATTTCTCATTCTTACCTAAGAATGAGATAGATCACAAATTTGGATGAATTTTGATTTTTGAGTTTTGAATGGTGGAGAACAAATAAGTATCATGATACAACGAAGGAGTTACTAGTCAGTAATTTTTGCAATGTACAATTTTTTTCTTTTAAATTTAATGTGTTTAAATAATAGTTTAATGACTTAGCGTTTAAGGGGATGTGAAATTTTATCTTCCATGTAAATGGAGATCACTAAAGGTTCAAATGGTCGATACAACTTTAAGTGAGCATAATTTTTAATTCAAGAGGTTGTTTAGGTATTATATATTAGCAGCAAAGCCAAGTTGTCCGGCCACCATCAGATAAGTTAATCAAGCCAAATAATTAATTTCTTCATTTCTAATTACACTCAAAAACTAAGTGTATTCAAAATTGAATTAATTAATTAAAAGTAAATGCTCCACTTTTTTCTTTAATATATATATATGAAAAAATATTTTTACAGCCACTTTAAATAAAGTTGTTCACAGCTACCTTTTTTAACTAAGTATGACTGATCATACATTAAATGGCTATGTTTATCCCATTTTACATGAAATAAACAACTTTCTTACACACACAAAAGAAGTTGGGTCCCACCACTCTTTTTTTCTCTCCTCTTACTTATGGATCTCACTTATACTTTTGTTTTTACAACATAAGGTAACTTTTTTCCTACAACATAACATAAGAAAAATATATCCCTACATTAAAATTGTATTTTCTTTCTCTCCCACGTCATAGTGTCTGAAGAAAGAGAAAAAAAGTCATTATTGTTATAACTAAGTATGACCGGTCATACTTAGATAAAAAAGGATAGTTACAGTCTATAAATAACCTTATCTAAAGTGATTATAGAAATACTTTTTTCATATATATATATATATATATGGAGTTAATTCAAATCTAATTATTTCTTTGAGGCGAATTAGCTTCTCCGGTATCCCCACAAACTTCGACTCTTTGAGCCGGCTATGAGATTAATACGGAGTATGAGACAGATCAAGAATAAAGATATTTAAACTCCTCTTAAATATGAGATGTATGAATTGAACCAATACCCTTTTTCTTTCACTTACTCAATTTTCTTGCTAGCAAGGGAGCTAGCACCATTTAATTAAAATATTTTTTAAACTATCATTGAATGGTATATGACACATTATTTAAAAAAAAATATGGTAGTCAAGTTTTTTTTTATTAATTTTATATATAAAAAAGAACACACTGATGGATGGAAATCAAATCCATCTACATATACACATGGTGTTGACATGATATTTTGTTGGAGACTTCAAACTTTCTGTATACAACGATACAGACAAAAAATGTAAATTAATTATCGCTGGCAAAAATATGCAGATAATGCACACGCACACAGCGTATATAGGTGAACACATTTGGGAGGACATAACTTGGTATAACGGCTATCTTAAAAAAAAAAAAAATACTTGTCAATCGAATCAAAAATACTTTCTACAATACTGATTAAATTAAAGGTCCATTTTTTTCGTATAGAGCATAGAATTGTAATATTAAAATTATTTTTTCAGAAGATTTTTTTAGCAACATGAAAAATAGATTACCCTTAAATTAAATAGAATATGCTGATAAATTATAGACATTTCCTTATTATCTATTTCTTTTTTGAACACATTATACTTTTTAATTAAAGTAAAATGAAAATAATTTCTTCAATTTTGTTTTTATTTATTTATGGACACGCGAAGTGTTTTTGAAAAATTCTAGTTTAATAATATGAACGATTTTAGATTCATCAGTTGCGCATAAATTATGCGTTTAGCTTTTCTTCATAAAGAAAAGAGAAGGGAAAATGTGAGAGAGAGATTAAAGCAAATACAAAATAAATTGCAGCAATTGGACCATGCATCCCACTATACACAATGGCATGTGACTAGGTGATAATTCACACACAACAAACAACCCAAAAAGGCAGTTACCCCACCCCAAAAACAAAGGGCAAATTAAAGAAACACAGTTCCAACACGGAAACTAGAACTTCATGATGACACACATTTAAAAGAAAGACAAGAGACAAGTACAGCGAATGAAAGTTAAGGATTATCAGACGTGAGTTCCAGCAGTACCACCCTTGTGAATTGGTTCTCCGGTGGTTCCACCGTAATCGCCGTCACGGTACCCGGGACCGTACCTGCTACTAAAGAGCCCTGCATGGATCAGCAATACATAGAGCAGCTGTGTAAAAGTGAGGATGATTATGAAAGCCTCTACTATCCTCAGTCTCCACCCTCTGTGCCCTCCAATGTTTATCTCCTTGCAAGCCAAACTGTGTCATTGCACAGAGAGATACAATAATCATTACTAACTCTCCACAAAGAAAATCTTAGATGCTCTTAGGACTCTATTAAATATGAGACATATTATATGTTGGTTATTAGTATTTTGGTTTGTTAGTATTATACAAAATTTCTTCTACTATACCATTAATAAATGTGTGTCTCACTTGATCTACAAAATTCAAATTTTTTAGATTAATCAGTTACTTTAATTAGTGTAAAATTTAAGGTATATAATTAAATAATTAGTATAATTTATAAATTGTTATATGGACGAAAATCTAACAATTAACAACGTTTATAGGTTTAAGACTATAGTTGCTTTTTTTGAGTTCCTCTCCCAGTAGTTGTAGTTCTCTTTCTTTTATCGCTTCAGTCGTGGGCTTGTTTGTTCAGTCGTGGGCTTGTTTGTCTTACTATCCCTTGATGTGCTTTGAAAAACAGAGATATGATTAAGATAGAAAATAAGTCTTCTAAATTTTAAAGGTAAAATCATTTCTGCAGCCGCATTTAATGCTTTTAAATATATATATATATATGACAAGTATTTAATTGTTGCACAACAGCTGTAGAAATATAAATCCTATATATATAAAATTTAAATATGTATATATAGGTAAAAGAATCAAAAATCTTATCCTCGTTGATTTGATTTTTTTTGTATATTTACTGGTTATAATTGATTGAAAGTTAATAATTAATTGTCATGTTACTCTAATATATTTGATGTGAGTCTCACTCACAAAGAAAGAAGAAAGGTAAAAGAATCAAAAATCTTATCCTCGTTGATTTGATTTTTTTTGTACATTTACTGGTTATAATTGATTGAAAGTTAATAATTAATTGTCATGTTACTCTAATATATTTGATGTGAGTCTCACTCACAAAGAAAGAAGAAAGGTAAAAGAATCAAAAATCTTATCCTCGTTGATTTGATTTTTTTTGTATATTTGCTGGTTATAATTGATTGAAAGTTAATGATTAATTAATAAAAATAATTGAATCAATTATATATATGTATTTATATAGGGTTTTATATATGTCATGTTGTAAAAAATTTGTAATGTCATGTTAGTCTAATATATTTGATGTGAGTCTCACTTAAAAAGAAAGAAGAAAAAAACAAGGTGGGACCATCACTTTTAGTGAAAGTAAAAGTGATATTGTAAGTTTCTTATATAAAGGATTTTATAAGAGTTATGTTGTAGGAAAAATGATATGTGTAATGTTATAGAGATTCGTTTTGCATGTCGTAATTTTTACTTTTATTTTGTTTTAAAAAATGTGAACCCCACAAAATATTGTGTGTGTAACAAACTTTTTTGTGTCATGTTAAATAATAAATGTAAACTCCGTATATAAAACCCATTTATATATTTAAGATTAATTCTTTACCCAAAGGCTAGAGCAGTCACAGCCCAAGCAATAATTGATGTAGCTCCAGCCCCAGCTAAACTGTCACTCCTCCACATCCTGAGGTGGTTTCCACCTATAAATTTCGACACAACGCCGAGAACGGATGCAAGTATGGAAAAGGTTAAGAAGAACATGGTGGCACCATTTCCTCCAAAACCTGAAAGAAAGGAGGGAAAAAAAAATTAAATAAAAAGGGCCATTTTCTATATCGGTAGGTACAACTTGTCTTTCTTACAATATTTTTCTCTTTTTCAAATTTGGAATGTGTGAGGTGAGGCAATGTTTTTTATTTTGTTTTAGCCAAGTGCTAGTACTTCCAATTCAAATAGCAAATACTTTTGAGGTCAAATAAATTAATGAGGTAGAAAAAGAAAGGGCTAATTCTATGTAAGATGAATTCAATCAATCAATAAATGTGTATGCTATAAATGCTGAAAAAAGAGATCTAGAGAGGGTAAACTTACTAGGGTGATGGGTTTGGCCATTGATGAACCTGTTGAGACACCAACTAGCAAAACCAAGAACAAGGAGATACATGATCAAGTTAAGAAACATTAATGGACCTGCTACATTCCTTCCAACTGTAGCCATAATTCACAATTAGTTTTTTCCTTTACAAACCCACCGAAATTTTTCTAAGATAAAGTAGAGATCGAATAGCACCGATTTTTATGTTCATCTACAAATTCAGTATGAACCGATATATAGAGTCCTTAAAAGGAAACTTAAAGATACGTGTCAAGCAACAACGTTTAGCATGTGTTCTTTCGTGTACAGGTGGTAGGACACTTGTCATATTTCGTCTATGCGTTTCCTATGTATCTATCTCTGTCTAGATCTCTCTTGGAATCTCGAAGTTTAATCAAACGGTGCGTTAGCCGATCGAAGAAAAGAAAAAGAGAAAAAGTTCAAAGGTTAGGTAATGAGAAAAATCAGTTGAAGGTATGCTATTGGAATAATGTTCTTTATTATTTGAAGTCTAAGTTTGTAGTCCTCTTTTGAATCTTATTCTAAGATATCACTTTTTGCTTTGAAGATAAAACATTAAACACTCAATTATTAGAGTGAAAAATTAAAAATGTACACGAACTAATAATAACACAAATTAATCAAACTTCAATAAGTTCACTCTAACATTGTGGGTTGTTGAAATTTTAATTATTTTATGGTGGATCAGAGTGAGTTTACTATACCCAACTGTCATGATAAGCTTCTGTTTATAGGTTGGTTTTGCTATGACTTTCTTTGGCAAATTAATTTGACCGTAATATAACATGGTTGTATACTTTTGTGTAGAAGTTTTGTTCTAAAGATATCGTTCTTATCCACATACTTTAAATTTGATGAGGGTTTGGGGTTACATGTTTTCAATTCACCTACCCTTTTAGGAGCTCAAGCATCGAGGTTTCAGTAATATTAAATTCAGAAAGCTATTTATTCTCCATCAAAAGATGAATCATGATGCCACAAATTGTAGCTATATGCAGACACAATAATAGATGCCTACATATCTCAATTCCTTTTTTATTTTACGTAATTTGCATATGTATGTGTTGGGCTTCCTCTTTCAATGCTAAGCTCAAGTTCATTGAGAAGTTTTTCAAAAAATCCTAAACTTTAAATCCTAAATTCCACCTCCTCTATATATTCATTAGTTGAGGGTGGAGGCTAGGTTAGATGAGAGAGATTTGATATTTGAGAGAAAATTGTTTGAGATTTGAGAGCAAAGCTTTATGCTTTGTATTTGAGAGATCTCTAGAGAGACGTTGAGTGAAACATCTATATGGAGGTTTGATTATCACCATTGTTGGAGAGGTTGAGTTAACCACCACATTGGTGATTCTGATTATTTGTAACCTATTTTTATAGTGGATTTTTGATCTGGACTAGGTCCCGTGGTTTTTACTTCTTCATTAGAGAAGGTTTTCTCACGTTAAAACTGTTTCTGTTCTCTCTCTCTCTCTCCTTCTTTCTCTCTCCTGTTTTGCGTTTTGATTTTCTACTGCGCTGCTCGACCTGGTGAAGTTCAGGCCGAGGTATTGTCGAGATCCGAGATCGAGGATCTTGTTGATTGACTTCTGCAAAAGGCTGCTTAGCCGAGCTTGAGGGAACCGAGTTCCCAACAGTGGTATCAGAGCCCAAGTTCGACGGGTTCTGAGGGAAACGAGATGGAGACCAATGGCATAACCAATGATGGAGACATGTTCAAGCTGACCGCAGACAATTTCACCTATTGGAGACCGATGATGGAAGATCATCTCTACTGCAAAGATTTACACGAGCCCATTATCCTTGATAAGAGGCCGAAAGGCAAAACCGATAAGGAGTGGCAGATTCAAAGTCGTCAGGCGGTAGCTACTATCAAAAAATATATTGACAAGAGCCTCTTTGAGCACGTGTCCGAGTTCACGAACACGTATGAGTTGTGGACGAAGTTAGAGTCCATGATTCAAAAGAAGACTCCCAGGAACAAAGCACACCTGGTTCGCCGACTTGTGAAGCTTGAATACAAGGACGACATGAGTATGATTGAACACCTCAACTCCTACAAAGGTATTGTGAATCAGCTGTCAAAGGCTGAAATGAAAATTGATGACGAGATGCAGGCCTTGCTGCTATTGAGCTCGCTACCAGAAAGCAGGGATACTCTGGTGGTGACCTTGAATAATTCGACTCCAGATGGAAAATTGAAGATGGATGTCATGGCAGACAGCTTCCTGGGCGAAGAAGCCAGGAGAGGAGAACGAGGTATTTCGAGCACGGCTGAGGCCAACGTTGCTGAGAACAAAGGGAAATCCAACTCCCAGGGTAGAAGCAAGAGCCGGGGTCGAGATCGTGATAGAAGAGGAAAGTCCAGAGGTCAGTCAAAGCCGAGATATGAATTGAAGTGCTTTTACTGTGGAAAGACAGGTAATAAGAAGCCAGACTGCTGGACCCTGCAGAATGACGAGAAGAACGGCTCTGTGAAGCCGGATCAGATTATTCCCAAGAAGAGGGAAGAAAAGAGCACCACTGCGATGGTTGCCAACCCGGATGCCGAGATATTCCTCCTAGGTGAGGATAATTATTTAAATGTTGCCTATGATGACTACACCTGGATTGTTGACTCCGGTGCCTCCTTCCACGTTACTCCACACAAGATTTTTTCTCTTCTTACCGAGGTGGTGATTTTGGAGTCGTGAAGATGGGAAATCAAGTGACCAGCAAAATTGTTGGTGTCGGTGATCTAACCCTGACCACAGATTTCGGATGCCGACTTGTGTTGAAAGATGTGAGGCATGTACCTGACATGCGTTTGAACCTAATCTCGGTAGGCAAACTTGACGATGCCGGGTTAGTGAACTACTTCAGTAGTGTTAGATGGAAGCTGGCCAAGGGAAACTTGGTCGTGGCCTGAGGTAAGAAGGAAGGCTCCTTGTACGTGAAGCAAGGAAAGATCAATGGTGGACAAGCCAATTCTGTCCGAGATGAACCTAGCTTGGAGCTATGGCACAAGCGCCTCGGTCACATGAGCAAGAAAGGGCTCCAAATCCTGAACAAGAAAGGTTACTGACCGGGTTGAAAGGTCAAGCGTTGAAGAGTTGCACGCACTGCCTAGCTGGAAAGCAGCACCGGGTTTCTTTTGTGAGACCAGAACAACCTAGACGACGCAGGTATATTCTTGACCTCGTCCATACTAATGTCTGCTCCATGTCGGAAAGATCCCTTGGAGGAGCTCATTACTTTGTTTCAGTTATTGATGACCATTCCCGCAAAGTGTGGGTATATTTGTTGAAGTCTAAAGACCAGGTACTCCAATCATTTAAAGAATTCCATTCTATGGTAGAAAGGGAGACTGGCAAGAAATTGAAGGTGGTCTGATCTGATAATGGTGGTGAGTATTGCGGCCCATTTGATGCATACTGCAGAGCGGTCGGGATCCGACTTGAGAAGACGCCCCCTAAGACTCCACAGCTGAATGGACTTGCTGAGAGGATAAACAGGACTATTGAAGAGAAGGTTCGAAGTATGATATCCAATGTCGGATTGCCGAAATCATTCTGGGGAGAAGCCGTTGATGAGTCTCCAATTTATTATATATTAAGGGTCAATATGAGTGTGAAATTGATTTAAAAGTAATTAAAAGTTATGAGAATTATAATTAAATTGTTATTTTATTCTCAATAATATTCTCATAAGATTTCTGATATTTTGCAGTAATTTCAGCTCAATAAAGAGATAATTGGAGATATCAAATAAAGTTGTTTTGGATTTCTGAATCATTAAAGATTTTATCAAATCTTCCTTTAAATATTTTTTAGGAAAGTTTTCCATTAAATTAAAAAGAGGAAGATTTGAAGGATTTGGTCAAAGATATGATTAGAAGATTTGGTGGAGATTGAAATCAAGAGATATGATCAAGATTTGAATCAGAGGAGATTGGACCCAAGATATAGAATGAAGATTTGATCAAGATTTCTAAGCAAGGCACAACTCTATAAATAGAGACTCAGACCTCAGAGACAAACAATCTTTGGCTGGAGAGAATTCTTGGAGGCTCACGCTGGAGATCAGGATTCCGACGGAGTTGAAGAACGAAGACCATTGATCCTTCTTCTTATTCTTATTCTTTTTCTTTATTGCTTTTATGAATACTTTTTATTATTTTAATTTGTTTAAGTCAGACATGAATATGTCTGGCTAATTTCTTTTTGTAGTTGGGATCACGGACCCAATGTGAATCCTTTATATTTTCTATATTGTTTTTATAATTTAATTAGTTAGTTTGTTTTATTCTACCTGTGTTAATTTTTCCATATCCTGTTTAGAATTGACCACTCTAAATTATAGGGCTTTGAGGGTTATGACTCACAATAGACATATTGAGGTCTTAATCTGGACAAGGGTAGAATAACAATTTGTGCATGACCTAGACATAGGCTTACATAGATTGCAGACTTATAATTCATTTGCTTAAAGCTTAATTTAAGAAGGATTACTAGGACACTAGGATTTTAATTAAGTTAAAGGGTCGAAATCACTAAGACATTAGAGTTCAACTAATTTATAGGGAAATAATGAATTGTCTGAGCAAACCAATTAGTTAATTATAAAATACAATATAGGAATATAAGAGAGGATCAAAAGTGAAGTGCATCCTGGCTACAGTTTTTATTCTTGATTTTAAACTCAATTCTTATTCTTATTAGCTTTTAATTAATTTTTTTTACTGTCATCTTCATTTGAATTCCTAATTAAATCTTGGCTACCTTTGCAAACACCTTTTGGATTTGTCTAACTTAGATAAAAACGGTGAAAATATTGCTTGAATTTAGTCCTGTCCGAGCTGAAGCAGGGGGAGAAAATCAAGAAAATGATGACCAGTAACATGCCGATGATGACCAAGACACTGAGGTCCGAGTTGATGATGAGATCCGAGATGAGAATGATGAACCGGGTTCTCAAGCTAAAGAACATCCGAGATATCCAACTCGAGAAAGAAGACCTCTACAAGATATCCATCTGATGAATACACCGTTGTTGCTGAAGACGGTGAGCCTCAGAGTTATGATGAGGCTGTGACGAGCTCAGAGAAAGAAGAGTGAGAAAAG